ATTTTCCAAGTCTATCATTTATTCTCACATGCCTGTATGTACATGTGTTCCCTTTAATGGTTTCCCTTCATATTTGCCACAAGATCCTCTTTCGACACATTTCCACACAGTCCTAGTAAACCTGCATTACGCATTGAGGACGTGTATAATTAATAATGTATGTATATTAATTAATGGAAGTATTATTTAGATAATTTACCTAAGTAAAATTACTGCAACCACACTGTGAAAATACTCCATTACAAGCTCAAGTCCTGCTCTCTTAAGCTTATTTAAGTTAAGGATGAAATGTAAAAGTTATCATTGTGCAGTAAAATATTTGCTATCAATGTTTTACTATTTGATATGACATATCTGGATTGATATTAAAGCTGCATTACGTTTTTGTTGTATTTGACTGCCTTAGATGTTTAAGTTTGTGCTAATTGTAACACCTTGATGTGCCTTTAGGTAGTTTAATCTAAATGCAGTTCATGTTCTATAGGATCTATACGATGACAGAAGAGTTTCTTGAAGATCTTGAAGCTCAATTTTCAGCTCATACAAGACACATTTCAAACAGTAAGTATTTCTTTCTTATTTTCAGTTTACCAGAATATTATAATGTGTTGTACTAGACAGGAAGGGTATGAAACTGAATCTTCAAGGTAACTGCTCTCAGAAAATTAGAAGGCAGTAAAAAGTACATTATTTGTCTGTGAACTGTAGTGAAGCAGAAGAAGAAGGTTGCATAGAAAGGAAACAAGTGCCTGAATACAGAACACAAGTTTATGGACTCATTCCATATAATAACATTCCCCCACTGTATGTAATGTGTAACAAACACAAGTAATGAAACAGTTAATAAAGGGGAATTAAAGTGAGTATAAATGTATTCGTAGGTTCACCTAATGGGAAAGTTACATATGTGTGTTGTAATCACTTTATTACTGGCTTATAACACAACTAAACATCTGACTGTTCTGCGGAGTAAATAAAGCCTGACATCATCCCTCGCAGCACGGCATCATGGTCAAAATGGAAAAACTGAACTAAAGCCTTAAAAGGATTTGATGTGCAGGTGATTAAGAAGATAACATTATTCAAATGAAATCCAAGATGTTTTATGCGTTAAAGAAACCAAATGTTCTGAATTTGTTTCCCGTTTACTTTTGTGTCAATTTGATCGAAAAACTATCTTCTCAGTTGCTGTCGGTGTTTTATAAAAAAGCGGCAGCAGAAGGCAAGAGAGTGAAGCCGGAAGAGGAAAGAGAGTGACTGTTAGACCTCTTCCTGTGGTTACATCACGTGGCTGTGGAGCCTTCAAAAGGAGACGACTTCTGCTTCTTCTTCTACTTCATCCTCTCCTTGGACCGACAGCAGACACCTGCGAGGCCGCTGCACACCCGACTCTAAGCTAGAGAAAACACACGAAGGATGAGGTAAAGTATGATGGACGACATGGCGCTCTTGATACTAGAATGATTTGTAACGACGTGGGAACAGTTATTTTAGATAATAACAGTGTTTCAGCTTTTCCTTCATTGACTTTGCTTATTTTAGTTTTTTTTTTTTTGTCCAATTGTAATTTGGGTAGTTGTATTGATATAAACTGTGAACTCAATGCTCTTTTCTTGCTGTATTACTAACTTTTGACTGTCATTGTATATAATGTTTTATTTTTCAATTGCTCCAATTTGTTTTTGATCCAATGTCAAATGTAGGCAGTAATTGTTTGCATTACTTTACTAACTATTTCAATATACCAACTGATCTGTTGCTCAAGACAGAAAAGCTTACTCATGCTAGCCAAAATGGCTTCCTCAAGATGGCGCTTCCTCTAGAAAGTTCTGCATTTTTCCTCAACCATCTTACTGCGCAGCTCTTTAAGAGACACGGTTGTGGTCTTTTAGGAGGATTTTTGTCATGTATAATAAGAGCACTTAGATTTGAACAGGCTTTAGGAAAACCGTGTATGCAAATGTTTCAAGACGAATCAGGAAGTGTGCATGTTGCGGTTTGGTGTAGAAGTTTTTTCTGGGGCGGGGGTTGTGTGCGTGTCCAGCTGCGAGTGCAGGTGCAGAAGAAGAAGAAGACGGCGATGGATGTACAGTGCAGTCATCCATAAAGTAGAAAGCACTACTAAACTCCTCGCCACAGTGTAGTGTTTCCTACTTTATGGATGAGTGTACTGTTGGCTTCAGGGAGAGGAGAGGCCCCACGGGTGAGGGCCCGCCACGCAGGAAGTGAGAAAAAAAGAGGAAGCTGCTTCGTCTCACAAGGCCTCGCATCGCCCAGAGTGTTGCTCAGTTCACATGGGCGGCGTGTGGCGCGGAGCAAAGCTAGCACCTCGAATGAGTTTCAACTGTCCTGGAAAAAAAAGAAATAATTACGATGTATAATCTGTTTGAAATGCAATAAAGGAAATTAAACGTACCTTGTGTTATCTTCTCTTTTCCAGTCGCACCACATGCATTACAGACTCAGTGTTTTCTGTGAAAATATACATACTTTATTCCTGTAAAAAGATCCATATTGAAACAAACCATCACATTTTCAAGTCCTCTGTGTACTACATCCTCAGTTACTGTTCCTCCATCGACATGCAAAAAAAAGAAATCTGAAAAACCATATTAACAAAAATATTTACAGATGGGTAATAAAAACATTACATATATATAAAAAGGTACATCTTCCACTTTTTCAAACAATGATGCAGGTCGAGGGAAGACGAAAAAAAAGATTCCCGCGCATTATGAAAATATACCACAACAACTGTTCATTATATACACACTTTCTTCTCCACTGCATTGACGATCTACAACTCAAACATTGTAGACGAGTCCGCCTAGAAAACATAAATATAACCGTAACATAAATAAGGCCGAACATGGGTATGACATTGGTATGCATGCAGTCAATAAACATCCTGTAAACAACCGATTAAAGACTAAACAAGGTCTTCTTGTAAGGCTAAATATGATCAACTGAGCTAAAACTCTTCCTACATGGGTGCTAGCGCCTACTCACTACACAGCAGGTAGAGGAATACTTGTGCATTAAAAGGCCGTCAAATACAAGAGCAGTACAAATATTCGCTGTACATTTCGGCAACTCTTAGAAAACAAATTTAAATACAGTACAGACTCAGTCTTGCCTCTATCCCGGCTATTTCACATCTAAAGTGTCTTGGCATCGTCATGCTCCCTTTATATAACACAGAAAGACATTTAAAACATTCACGACAGTAAATAAAAACTATTTTCCTCCAACTTTGAATGGTGAAACTAGGCCCTAATCTTCAATCTGATTCTACATACTCCACTTTATCTCCATGCTGCCGTCACTCGCTCCTTTGAAGCTACGGTAACAGGCAAAGCACCTAAGATTTGGCATGTTCTGCAGTTTTATGACAGCTGGAGTCAACAGGTGGCTCAGCATTAGTAAGAAAACTATAAGTAAAAACCTGAGAAGTTGCCTAACAGCTAATGTCACACAGATCTAATCAGAGTGTGTTGTAACTGACTCACAAACTCAACCCTAAGGCCTGCTCCACACACACCCACAAACACACACTCAAAACTAAACCTTAGAGTGAGTAATGGTGTCACAAACCATTAAAAGATACAGAATGTCTTGATAAGTGTTGGAATACAGCACAATATGCTATATTGCTAACGTTGTGTCCTTCAGCTTCAACCAAACAGTCTATCATTGAATGATGCGAAAAAAACGAATTTCAGCTACACTGCATGAAACAATGTACGCTGTATGACCTAATATTCACACTCTAAAAGTGAATCATACTCACACTTGGAGGCAAAATCATAAACAGGTGATTGAGTGTGTCGCAGTAGAGCCGTGCCAGAAAGCCTAGGTGTTATGAATACAAACATTTCACTTTAAATAGGATCCTAAGTGTTATGTTCTCCTTTTTTAAATCTTTAAGGGAGGAAATATTTTTTAGAATAAGGTTGATATGTCAAGAATAAAGTCAGATGTTCAATGTATGCGCTACAGCAATTATTTTGATTTATTTCTAAGAGTTCAATGTTTATTTCCCCAAATGTATTTCAATTAAAGATCTTCTTTTCATCCTCAAAATATAAAATAGGTTTCTCCTCAATTTGAGTTTTTCTTATTTCTAGCATTAATAGTCTTCTGTAAGATCTGCAACAATTACTCAATTGATCAATCAGTCCAGAGGTTTTCAAACTCTAGAATTTGCCTGAGTATCATCAGTATCCTTCAGTATCAAAGTTATGCAGTGATAACTGTCAGTATATCATGGCTACACTTCAAACAGGAAGTGTTCAAATGGTTTGGATTGTGTTGATTAACACAAATATTAACAAATAAGGGCTAAAGCTACTTTATACTTCTATTCAACTACATTTTATTGCAAATATTGTACGTTACTCCGCTACATATATTTGATAACCAGTAAGTAGTTTTCAGACTTTAAAAACCCCTGGGTTAGTCGATCAAGAGAAAATTAAGCAAATTATTTGATGGATTTAAGGATAAGCTCCTTTTCCTACTTTACAGTTGACTGAAAATGTTTGGGTTTTGAACTGTTGGTCGTACAAAACAAGTAATTTCATGATACAACACTGTTGGCTGTAAGAAACTGTGATGCTTTACATTATTCAATGATGGTTTGACGATAAATATCAGTTGCAGCTGACTTAGTTAACAGAGCAGCCTACCGATCAACAGATATTACATGATTTCTGTACGTAGTCTGTGACAATTAGGCCAGTTATGACTGTTGCTACGTTAATGTCTGAAAAGGCACACACACACACACACACACACACACACACACACACACACACACACACACACACACACACACACACACACACACACACACACACACACACACACACACACACACACACACACACACACACACACACACACACACACACACACACACACACACACACACACACACACACACACACACACACACACACACACACACACACACACACACACACACACACACACACACACACACACACACACACACATCACGTTCTTTACCTTCAATGACTGCTAGCCTCAAAGCCCATTACTAAAGAATATAATACTACACTTGGATCATAACTATCTGTGACCACTCTACATGACTGACCTCCTGTCACTTCCTGCAATGTGGTTAAAGCAAGCGTCTGACACAAATAAATAACATGTTCTGTACAAAGTATAAATACTCTCAAAGACAAGAAACAATGAGAGGGACACGCAGAAAGACATTTAGAATTCATCCACTCAGGATGGATAGTGCATTCTTAACAGTCACACAGAGGGAGAAAAGATAGACCGCTGCGTCTGTTTGCTTTTAAATAAATAAAGTGGCACCAGCAAATGAACTTTAATATTTCATTAGCTGTGTGTCTGCTGTTCTATCTTGTTCTCTATCAGATTTTTATAAATAAAACCGATCCATTGACTAATAAGTAATTTATATTGATCGTTAAAGCCTATTGAGTTGAACATTTGCAAATGCTTAGATAGTTAGGTGGTATTTAGAGGATATATTCGCACACTTCGACATGCACATCGACATGCCCGTGTGATGCTGTAAGCGGTACATTGATGTCGTCTAAAGTTAACAGCTGCTAGCAGTGCTCTAAGGCCAAAGAAGAATAACCGTCAGATACTGAGACTAACAGATAGAAAAAGTGCTTTCAATGTGACGCGAGTATTCTGAGTCAGACGTGCCGACTCATTCTTTCTTGCTGGATCCCAGCTTTTTGAACAGCTTCTTGCCTTTGGAGAAAAAGCTTTTTTTCTTCTTGCCTTGTGGGGAGCAGTCTGTCTTTGATGGGCTGTCTGCAGGGAGGGGGGCCGGAGGGGAGCCGCAGGCCTCCACTGATGGAGCAGGAAGAGGAGCAGGAGCAGGAGAAGGGTCTGACACTGGGCTTGAAGTGGGGGCCAGTTTGGGGGGCAGGTCTGTGTGCTCTGCTGGGTCAGGGAGAGGAGGTTCTGCTGGGGGGGGCAAAGCTTCTTCTAGGGTTGAGGCCCCAGGATCTTGTTCCTCTGTAGAAGACGTCCAGGTGTCCTTCAGGAAGAGAGTGAGACTTTTAGAATGCTATATTTATTTTTAGTTTTGCTTAAAATAATAACACAAAAAGGAAACCTAAGGAAAGGGCACACACAAAGGACGAGATCACACTTTTAAATACCCTACAATCAAGGTGCAGGATTTCAGGAGTACAGTTAAGTTGGAGGGAAGAGGACATACACGGGGAGTGAACAGGGGACACTAGTGGTGATCGCTGAGCTGCTTTACTCCTCTCTAAAAACACTTACGATCAGGTCTCAAAGTGTACACTTCGTTTGTGCTTCTGCAAAAAGGCCATGCAGGAAACAGTGGGGCGAAAGAAATGCGACGGGGCACGATTAAAGAAACAGATCAGAAAATAACCAGACGCTGGCAATGCATGAAGAAATAATGTGAAAAATACGTTTTTCAAGCAGGTTTCTTTTTGTTAAAATTAGAAATAATGTATGCGAGAAGATGAGAAAGTCACAGACAGTTTCATACACGGTAATGCATGTTTGATAGATAGAAATGCTAAGTCACCTGTAGTTCTTTCCTATGGTCTGGTGCCGGCTGAGCAGGAGCTTCCTCTGGTACGGCCTGCAGGAAGTTAGAGGGCACCAAGCCTCTGTGTCCATTCAAGTCTCCCTGTAACAAAAAAACCCATTAAGGGCATGAGGGCGACTTCTGACAACATGGCTGTAAATCAACCTCTGGGTTTTCCGAGGTTGATTTACAGCGATGAGTCGGCATTTTAATATAAATCAACAGAAAAGTGAATCAACATTTCTTTGATAATCAATTTATTTATATTTATTTTGTTATATTATGTGAAAAGTCAAATAACTGACTGTGCCAGGTTTTTACGTTTAACATACATAAAGCGTTAGGATGTAATAACGGACCGAACGATTATATGATGTTATTAAATGCTAATATGTTGCTAATATTGTTATCACTGTATTTATTATCATATGCTATATATCACAGATTAAACTTCAATATATATATAATTTAGATTTGGATTTCTATTGGGGATCAAGCAATGGCCCAAACAGCTCTACCAATTGAGCAATACAACAGCCTATATATTATTATTATATTGTATTTATTATTCATTATTATACCTGTGCTGTGATGTAGTTCAGATATTGTATTTATTGAGAAACAACTCCTCTTGCCCACAGTAATTGACGGTAGTGTCATGTTCACACTTACATAGAAGAAGCCATCTTCGTCCATGTCACCGAACACATTTATGATGTCTCCTGCACTGAAGGTCAGCTCAGCCTGATCAGAGCAATGCAAGTGAAGCAGATCATTAGCAAACACATAAAGGGCCATGTCTGGATAACATATATTATTCATGCGAGTCTGACCTCTATGTCAGTGTTGGGAGAGCTCTCTCGAGGATCATAATCAAAGATGGCGACCATCCTGCGAGCTCCTGGGGCCGGGCCCCCCACAGGTGGAGCTGCAGGTGGGGCTGCAGGTGGAGCTGCAGGTGGAGCGGCAGGTGGAGCGGCAGGTGGAGCTGCAGTCTGGCTGGGATCTGTCAATCAAACAGAGACAATATGATATCCTGATAATTAGAGGAGTAACTCCACTCGGCTCATCAGCATGCAGCTCATCGTGTCTGCACTCACTCAGCGTCATGCTAAGCTGAGGAAAAGTCACATCACTGCAGTCAAACACAAGGAAATCAAAATATAACAACAGGAGATTAGAAATCAGTCTTCATTAAAAAGCTTGTAGCAGCTTGAGCTGTAAAAATAAAGACAATGAAATGATGAGTATTAAATGATGCCACTGAAATGAAAATAGGAGTTAGGAGAAGGGACTGCTTGACGATTATAACTGGGGCTTAACAAAGAACTTAATAAGAAGGCTTGCCCTATTTCTTTTTTAATTGGGCAAGTCTTTCAAATAATTGATCCCAGAAATACAATTATTATTCTGCATTTGCAAAGGAATCTTCTTTCTTCTATTGAAAATAATATATTCTTCAGCATACCCCAAATAATCAAACAGTCCCTATAAGGATACATAATTGTGTTATCAGCAGCTAGAATGCAGTCGAACCATGAAAAAAAAAGGTTAAAGGAAGGCACTTAAACACATGCTGTCCTCCGGTTGAAAAGGTTGTCTGATCATGCAGGTGAAGCAGAGAGGAAGAGGAGGCAAAGTGCGGACTACAAACCTTGGCTGGAGGAGTCTAAGCTCTCCTCCAAGAGCGCCGCAGACTCCACTGGAAGAGACGAGGTCCGGGGAAAAGAGCATGAGCACAATCACAGAATGAGAAGAGACCTCAAGGGCCAACATACAATCCTGTTTCAAGAGCAGGTATGTCATCACACAAAGTTACAGATGGAGATCAGAGGGGATGGATGTCTCAACAAAGGGCTTTAGGTGATCATGTAATGCAGTTGTGACAGAAGCAGAATGTGGCAAAAAGGACTTACAGTGTGCTATTAGGGCTGAATAGCTTTTTTTTACGTTTGAAACTCCTATTGTTGTTTTTGAGTTTGGGTTTGAATGTCTTTTGACATATTTTATGACGTATTTACCATAGAAAATGAAAAAAAAGAGACTATTTCATTAGATGAAATCATCTTGTGAATTTAGAAATGATTAGATCTATCTTTTTTGATTTGAATGTGGACGTTTGGACTTTCACCACAGGAGAAGAAAACCATCCTACACAGCCAATCCTGTAAACTATTTACTATAAGTATAATTCTTATAATATACGTGTGCTCCTTATTTGCAACTGTGCAGAAATATATCATTTGAATTATAAGTAGATATCCAAAAACAGCAAATAAATCATAATCCCTTAAGACGAACCTGAGATGGTCGTATATATTGAAAGGGAGAAAACATACCAGCTGTAACCTCGGCTGTCACTGTCATGAAGGCATTAAAACATAGGTTAGCGCCCAAATAGTTATTTAAAAGCAAAGGGGCAATGCTTCTCTATAATACAGCAGCGGCTTGAGTGGTGATATGTTGTCAAGATATTATCATACATAGAGAGTGCGAGCACTCTTTGATGAAAGGCCGGGATGGAGCCAGTTTCTTTTCTGCCAAAGAAGAAAAACACTATGTGTACACACACACACACACACCCTTAGAATTCATATGAAAACGTTTCAAATGATTCAGTACAGCTTTTACTGCCACATTCTGCTGCTATGTCTACAATGTATTACATGAATATCCAATGAAAGCTGACAGGACTGACTCAGTAGTCATGTATGTGTCTTTTAACATTTATGTAGGCGTTATTGACAAAAAAAGGGAACTTGTGGAGAGATGAAGAGCCAATAAGAAAAGAAGTGTGAAGAATATGCTTTAATATTAGAATATGAAACTACTGTAAAGAGACTGCTGGGAAGCTATCTGACTTTATGACTTCAGCAGCTGAACTAAAAATCCCAACAGGTCGCTGAGTGAGAGGCAGCAACTGCAGGAGCAAAAAGTGAAATAGACAGAAAGAGAAGCAAACCAGAGAGAATAGAGGAGAGAGGTGGGAAGCCGCAATCTGCAGCGTGACACACCTTTCTTGGATCGTCTCGGTTTCGGCGGTGGAACAGGGCGACTGGGAAGCTGTGCATGTGTGCGAGTGCCTTTATGGAGTTTTAGAAGGGAAAACCCAATACAAAATGAAACCAAAAAGAGACACAGAGGTGCAATTTTTGAGAGAAGCAGACAAGACACAATAGACAATGAGAAGCCAGTGAAGAGCAATTACAACAAATGGCAACCAGTGAGCAGCAGACAGCAGTGACAACAAGTGGAAGTGAAAAGGTTTAACCATCTGAAAACACCGCTCTAGGTAGAGAAGCAGCTGGATTTTGCTGCTACAACGTACCACAGGAACACACTTTGACTTTCTATTTTTTAGACACCTGCATGAAAACGCAGTCAGTGACTCGGAATAGATGGTTAACATTTCTTTAATAGCAACAAAGTGAGCAAAAAGCCATAAAAACTAAATGTTAGATTTGTTATTATTTTAACCAAAATCTAATGTATTTGTGCTTCCTGCTGGGTCAAAGGGCCAACAGGCCTAAGGGAACAACTTCAATATTTTTCTCCTTTTAATCACAGACTTAAATATATTTGTATGTCTTTTTATACTGCTGGCCAATTCAGAGACAAGGATAATACAAATTATAATTTAGATCTGGATTCTGAAACACTTTTGCTGCTATTTCCACTTACCACTTAAACATGAAGAACAGTGATATTATGAAATCAAACCGTTTAAATTAAACTTCAACTGAAACATATCAAACTTTACATCACACGTTTGTGGGCCCTTCTTGAAACAGTTTCACCTACCTATCTTCTCCATGGAGGCGGCTGTGGACAGGAAGCCCTGCTGCAGGAGCTGCTGCCGGGTCTCCTCGTCCTCCACCTGGATCTCTGACACCATGTTACATGGCACGTATCCCAGGTGGCCCGCACACTCTCCTCGGTAGAACCCGTCTGCGTCTTTATCTCCGAAAACCTGGGGGGAGAGGGTTCACATTTTCAAAAATGTTTGGCAAATTAAATCATTTAAAATGGGATTTCTCAAAACTGAAGACATCTATGAAAAACTTGTGATTTCTCATGAAATTAGGCATCTTTGAAAAATAATTTTACAGGTAACAAGCTATTTTTTGAAAATGTAATCTTGTTTGAAAATGTATTTATTTTGAGAAAATTAAGACATTTCTTCTACACTAATAATTATAAAAAAAACGAGTTGGCCTAGTTTCAGAAATGTAAAAAAATCACTGATGTAAAGGGCAGTCTTATATGGTTTGCATTTTCAACCTTGGATTATAAAAAACATGCATAATGTCATGGTTATTCCAGCATTGTGTGTTGCGGGGACATACTTTGATGATCTGTCCTTCAGAGAAGGGCAGCTCTTCCTCAGCAGCGTCAGGATTGGGTGACATGACGACGGGATCATAAGGGAAGAGGGCCACAAAGATACGGACGTCACCGTCTGCTTTGATTTTTGGTGAATCGACACCACCTGCAGAAACACACAAACACTCACATGGTAACAAATACTTCCTTGCTATGCATATAACATTTATATAATTAAATAAAGCTTGTTCACAGGTTAATTATTCAACAAGTGGTGTTGAGCAATCATTTCCTTAAAATGTCCAGAAAGTAAACATTTTGCAATTTTTTATAAAATGTGCATTATGAAATAATGCTAAACTATTTTCATTTTCAGTCAAGAATTTAAGAACGTTGGATTTGAGACATGAAATGATAATTCTGTTAAAGTGCAGCCATTAATGGGCGCTACAGCCCTATGATAAATTAGTTACTGAAGTATTTTCATAAGTTTAAGAAGTATGACTTCAAGTAAGAATATGTAATTACTTGTTTAACTTTTTATTCATGCATTATTTTATAAAATGTATTTTTTTTAAGGCGATTTCTGTTCATCTGTTAACTATGCCTTTATATATCATCTTTATACAATGAATAGTCACTGCTATTGCACTGCACACTGTGCACACAAGCCCTGCAAAGCTTGCAATGTGCTCTGCAAATAGCAGAGGCAGCTCTCCCCTCCCCCCTCCCCAGCGCCTGCACTGCTGCTAACGCTGCCCGCCGAGCACAGGCATGTCCTTAAAAGAGGTAATCAAGCTCAACCACTGATCCTAAGCTGTGTGAGCCGTTTGACAAGCGTGCACTCGCTCATGATCTGCAGCGGGGAACACACTGTATAACCCACTCTCTGATCTAAATCTGAGGACGCTCACGTACACAGGCGAAAAGAAAAAGAGTGTTATTGAAGGTGTGATGTCACCAAGAAGCCTTTAAATGGTTTACATGAGGCTTGACACTTGTGTGGCAGAAAGCATTACACCTGTCGCCTATTTGACAGCGAGCGACACATTTTAAGAGCTGTAGTGAGACTTTAAGCTGAGCTGCAGAGATGTGTTCTCTATCTCATTAGGAGGAATCAGCCCATCTGTGGCAAGAGTCACGGGCAACACACTTTCACATCCTCAATGATCTTCTAGTAGATAGAGGCAGAACTTCTCCCTGCTCCCTTCCTCTATCTGCATGCACGTGTATGTGCGTGTGTGTGTGTGTGTGTGTGTGTGTGTGTGTGTGTGTGTGTGTGTGTGTGTGTGTGTGTGTGTGTGTGTGTGTGTGTGTGTGTGTGTGTGTGTGTGTGTGTGTGTGTGTGTGTGTGTGTGTGTGTGTGGTCAACCGTGCACCACACACATTTACCAGAAAGTGTAGGATTTATTAAATTAAAGAGCAGCCATACAGGTTGGCGTTGCTGAGAAGATTAAAAAGGGACGTGACTTTCTCACTGCAGGCCGTTTCTTTGCTGGCTAATCGAGGTTACTATTTTAATGTTTGTCACTTCCTCCTGCCATGACAAGCCACTTTGCGTTAAGCCGTTTCTCAGCTTAGCAGCAACTCTTGCACTTCTTCTCTGCAGATACACCCCCCCCCCCCCTCCCTTCCTACACAAGGTGCTAATCTGACCACCATCATGTGAGAGAGAGAGGGTGAGGCTTGCCAACAGTAAGCACAGGTGTCTCAGCTTCAACAAGAGAAAGAAAGAAATCAAGAAACAGGAAGAGGAAAGAGGAAAGAGTGCCTCACCTCTGAGTTGTCTGGCCTGTGAGGAAGCTGGTTTACAAGGGGGCTCACCTTGCACCCCCCACGATGGACCCGCCTCAGCTGGAGGGATCTGACTGGGCTCCTACAAAAAAAGGGAACAAGAACATTTGAAAAAACATCTAATTCAGAAACATTAGTACTGGGGAGAAGAGGGAACCTTAGGGGGACAATGTACAGAAAATGCAGCTGTCCATGTTTAAAATAATCTATGTTTTATCCAATGCCAATTTAATTTCCAGCATTGTACCCTTTCCACATAAAGATATTTCCTTTTGGTGGGGTTACCGGACAGTTTAAAGCGCATATACTGTAAGCCAATGCAGGATAAGACAAAGGGGGCCGGTTAACAAGTTGTACGAGGACATGAAAGCAACAGGAAGTGAAGTCAGACAGAGGGAGAAAATAATCAAATTGCCCGATCCATCTTAGTTGTATGCCTCCGAGTTCATCACTCCCTTAAAAATCGATGCCTGCTTTTTTTTAAAGTTGTGCATCACAAAAGCTTATGTGTTATGATGCCAAACACTGCGTACAAGCTGCTGGAACAAGAGGTACACAAAATGGGGAAAAATAGTCTTACGTGTGGCTTCATTTCACAAAGAAAAATAACAACATTGCCGCTTGTAATATTTGTGTAAGGACTAACAAATAGTTATTTATAAAACAGCTGCGTGGATGCTAAAAACCTATGTAGAACAAACGTTTGTTCCACACAGAAAATTGATAAGAAATAAATAAGTGAACCTGAGTGATAAGCAGAATTGATAATAGAATAAAACCTTATCAATTGACATCCATATTTCAAAATCTGAAGCCACAGGTTGATGATTAAGTGTTTTAAAATAAATTGCAACTACTTTCTTAGCAACTCAACTGCCATGCCATCAAAAATATATTCTTCAAACCAAAAATATACCACAGAATGTGCTCCCTAACCTCCCCGTCACTACGGTGATGATGATGGGAAACGTTACTCGCTAATGAACAGAGGAGTTTTTTGTTATCTACTAAAAAGGACTCGGAGGGATTGATCCACACTGCTACAGGGAGGAGGAGGGGGTGGGACAACAAAACCCATCGCAGCTGTCCTGCAGCAACATTTACCGGCGGGTCAGCTTTCATTCCTCTGCGGTGAGCGGGTCTGCCGTGCTCCATCGGAGCCCCCTCCACCCACCACTCAGAGCACATCTGCTCCATCCCCACCTCCTCGTCTGTGCCGTAATCCACGTCGATCTCCACCTCGTGACCTAGGGGCGGCCTCAGAGTCTGTTTCACCTGGCTGACCGGGTGAGTTCTTGGCGGCGGGATGAGTCCGGGGTTCATGGCGGCGGCCATCTGACTCCTGATCATGGCCTCCCTCCTGAGGCGGTCCCCGAGGCCTTTGAGCAGCGATCTGTCTCTGCTGTAGGGGGGAACCTGGGGGGGACAGCGGACCCGCCTGCTGCTGGGACCCTCATATAAACTCATGTCTTCTTCTTCAGGGTAACCCATGTGCTGCGTCCGAGGCCTGTGCCGGAGTAAAGGCTCGTTGGTTAGAGTTCTGGGATCCCTGTTGAAGTGGTGATGGTGAGGGGGTAAGTTGTGGTGATGCGGGTAATGCTGGGGGTCATGGTGGGGGCTGGGCCTGTGCCGAGGATGACCACGGCGGGCTAAACGCTCCTCTTGACTGCTATCTTCCTCAGGGATGATGAACAGCTGGTCGTGGTGCACCTCAGGGGGCAACTTAAGAATCCTCTCAGGTAGCTCCTCCTCACTGTCTGGAGTCCGCACATTGCGTGACTACAAGGTCAAATGTCAAATTGAGCAAGAATGCATTGGTGAGGGTGAGGGTGAGATTGGATAGTATTTTTCAGTGAAAATAAAAAAAGTGCAGAAAAACAGAAGGCAATCCGATCATGCAAAAGGAAAGAGAAAAGAAAGAGAAAGAAAAAACAGAAATAATCAAGCACGGTCACAAGCATGACAAGGCCACTGAATGATAACTGAACTATGCAAGAAAAGCAGCACATCTTCCACAGGATATGCAATGCACTCATTCCTTTACCATGTTGGACCTGACAGTGTAGCCCCTGGCCTGTGCGTCTCCGAAGTGGTCCGAGTAGAGTTCCTCCTCCTCCTCCTCCAGGATGTCCGACAGATCTGAATGGCTTTTGTCTGCGAGGTAGTCACTGGGAGGCTCCACAAGCCCTCTGCTGTAACTCTGAAATGAAAGACGTTGACATTATTAAACAAACTATCCAATTGACCAGACATTTGGAATCCCTTTTAGTAATTCCATTGAATGTAGAATAAGATATATTCATCTGCAAGTGAAACAATAACATGTTGCAGATACATATACTGCTAAAGGTATCAGATTATTATGGCCTTCTTCTGGCATTGGCCACATGCATTTACCCTAAAGAAATAGCACTGGTAATAGCTAGCGTTAATGAAATATGTATTCATTTGTGATATAGGCTTGCCTTATACAGGAGTAAAAATGTGAAGAAATTCAAGCTCAAATGCAGTTTTGCATTATGCATTGTATTTATTTATTTAACATTATAAAATGATATTTAAAATTTCCACTCAACAAATACTTCGACTGAATACGTAAATGTTAATCAGGGTTTTTTCAGTTCCCCAAGTTAATTGAAGACTATATAAGTCCTTTATTGTCAGATATAATACATTTAGAAATGTGAAAGCTTGGGTCTAGAATTATTTATTATTATATTTACATTTCTAAGAAATTCCCATAAGGCTAACTTGGATATTTTTCAGCCTGAATCCTGTTTTCCCTTGCCTCCCTTAGTCACTTTGAAACAAAATATAGGATGCAGGTTAAAATGTTGTACCCTTTAAGTCGAAGAAATAGTGTTTAGGGATCTATTACAGCCACTTTATTTGTAAATGTACATCTATTTCATATAAAAACTGCCTTTTCTTTACTTAAAATGATTACATCAATGGTTCTTGGTCAATATGTTCAACACTATTGAAGGACTCAACCAAAGATTTCATTCCCCCTTTTCAAATCAGCATTATTTTTTGTCGTAAAGAGAAACTACTTGAAACAGTGGTTGTGCTGACCTGCTGGTCCCTGCTGTATGTCGGCTCTGGATCGTGTCTCAGGAACTCCTCCATGGACACCTTGCGGGTGTTCTCCTGATCCTCCTCCGCCTCGGACTCCAGCGGTGAGGAGCTGGGGGGTCGGTGGATGTTAATGTCCTGAGGGTTAAGGAGGTCCGTGATTGGGGCTCTGGGCGGGGTAGGGATGCGCTCAGGGGTCCCGAGCTTGGCACTGGCACTGGGGTCCTCGATGAAGTCTGAGATGGATGGGAAAGGACGGACGATCCCAGGGCTGTCGGGGTCTCTGCGCTGCTCCAACACTGCTGCCACTGCTGCTGCTACCATCACTGGGGCTGGGGCAGCTACTGCTACTGGGGGTGGTCTAGGGGCTGAGGAGGTCGGGGAGATCACGTTCACCTGAAGATGAGAAACACAGTCAATTCACAATTTAGTTCACTTGATTTTTGTAGAAATGGACAAGGTTTAGGATAACTTTAATATATTTTATATAAATGAGCTATGATCAGTTCCTGTTTGAGGTGTACACATGGATTTACAGACAGTTATCATTGAAAAAAGAATTATTCTAAGGCAAGTATAGGATCTATTTGAAAGCAGATTGATGGATGTTTATTTATGATGGACAAAGACTATCCCTTCACCCTCCACACCACCCTGTAGAGGCATGGCTAACAGTTCAAAAACCTCTGATCTAGAAAAAGAAACACATAGTTGCCCCTTTATGCACGCAAGGATGGAAGAGTAATGTTTACCACTGGCATAATGTTGGAGGCTGCAGGTAATGTGGCCTCACACGCAGCAAAGGCAGCAGCAGAGGAGGGGTTGGCCCAGGCGTTCACATATGAAGCAGACCAGTGAAGAGTTTCTGAGTGGAGAGCATAAGAAGGGTTGGCAGCAGCCTCCCCTGCGAGGCCAGAGGTGTATGAGTCTGATGGCAGCATGGAGACTTTGGCAGCAGAGTTCCCATAGGACGGAGGTGAGGACAGGCTATTGACTCCTGTAGGGGTGCAGGGCTGAGGTGGCATAACTGGGGCGGGGAGGGCCGGTCCTGCCATGATGGCAGCCAGCTTGGTGGGCACATTGACTGGCAGAGAGTCGCAGGACTCCCCGTGGACGGACATGGTGCGGACAGTGAGCTCCTGAGCTGCTAGCAGAGACTGCATCTGAGACGGGCCCAGCAGCGCACTGCCCGCTGTGGGGGAAGACACCTCCAGCACCTTGATAGGACAACAGGATTTAATTTAATTCACACATCATATTGACATTAAACATTTTAAAAAGGAAACTAATTGCGATTATTTTGACTAATATTACAATTGAGATAGGAGACAAGATCATTTTGCATCATTATTCTCATTATCATTTAAAAATATATGATCATGGTGTGATTTATTACTTAACAAATATTGGGCTTACTGTGATTTCCATATTGCGGTAACAAACATTCTTTGATTAATTGTGCAGCCCTTATATATACTGACAATCAATTGCACTGCTTGCTTGAGAGGAATATGGCATATATATATATATATATATATATATATATATATATATATATATATATATATATATATATTGAGATGATAGATTATCAGAAGATAATGGGAAATGTATATTAATAAGTATTATTCTGATAATAGAAGTATAGCCAAAACATTATGGGCTGATAATACAAAGCCATATTGGATTTGATGACTTAGCATGTTTATCATCTAAACACTCTGATACAATAGGTGGTGGTGACTAAACAAGGCAGCCAAACAAGTCATCTCTGGTGTGGATGTTTGTATACGTTTTTAGAAGAAGAAATCACATTTACTATTGGCAATGCAAGCTTTTTATGTCTGTTACTAGAGACCAATATTTGAAAAGTCAAAAGTGTTATTTACTTTTGTTGTTAACAATATGATTTCAGTTAGATGTGGCTAGGTCAGAGAAATAGAATATATAATCTTCCATCTTTACTCAGAACATCTTAGCCTTTCTTACCCCCATGTGTTAATAAACTATAGGTTATGAACTACATTTGAAATGACAAACTGTGAAATTATCTGTTATTTTATCTGTTGAAGAAATAATGAATTGTATGTATCCCTAGGAGGAATGTTTAACAATAAATCACCAAGTCTTTACCTTCTTCTTGTCAGCATATATAGTGTATCCAGTGACCCTGACACCGTTGGAGGTCCCGGTAGCATCTATAGTGACAGGCAGCCAGCTGATGAGGGCGATGCCGGGGGACGGGCCGTGCTCCAGCTGGACATCCAGAGGAGCATCAGGGGGACCTGCAAAGCCAGCGGCAAGCAACACATGAAGATGTTTTTAATATAAATATAGAATCAAGTAATTCTATCGAATTGAAAACATGGTTCAAGGGTTTAAAAAGGGTTCTCTGAATGGGAATATTACTCTACAGAGAACAAGTCTAAACTCTAAACTCTAACGGGACATTAAGAAACTTAAGATGAATATACCTGAGTTCCAAGACTGTGGGCTTGAAACTAAAGCAAATTTGAATGATCATTTAGAGAAACACGAATCAAATCCAATACTACACCAATCACAAATATGCATTTAAAAGTCCTAATATCTATTCAGTAAAATTAAATGTTGTTGAGTGACATCAATGACCAAGTCCTTGCTTTGAGCTTCACACAGATTTCCAATTCTTTGAGCCTCCCCTTTAATTCTTGCGCAATGCTTTGTTGGCAGGGCACGGAAATATTAAACATAATGACAAAGGGCACTTTAGGATAATGAAGCCCCTTTGAAGTAATGCATTCTGTGCCAAGGTGGTTTTGCTGCTTAGTAAAAGAGAGGCGAGTCACAGCAGCACACAAGAGCAGCTCTCATGAATAAACTCATGTCCTTGTGTGGGAGGTAGACAATCAACAAACTGATTATAAGATATCATATGAATAGAGTGCTGCAGGGGTGACGTTTTTTAGAACATCACCGAAGATAGCATCGCCCTTTACAAAAAGTCAATCAGATTTTTCATTTCATATTGGATAATTGCAGAAAACAAGATTTGTGTCAAACAAACAAACAAACCTTTATGATACCTTCACGTTAAGTTGAGCAGATAATATTCACAAAAGAACACCATTTTCACCATTAGTACAAATCTAACGTTATAGGCAATAACTAAACATTGGTGCATGTCTTCTACATCAGCACCAGTGAGCTAAAGCCTCTTTAGCCACTTGTTAACAACACCCTCTTTAAGACTCTTTTAGTAGCTTCAGAATTCACCACACTGACATATATTATGTCCTAGAAAAAAAACAAGAAACAGTCTTCATTTTTCATTGTATAAACACTAAAGGATATGCATTAAAATAAAGTGACCGTTAAGTGCATTTTAACTAATACAAGCTTAGGATTTTCTAATTATATAACTGGAGCAGCTTATTTTAAACACATCATGTACTTATTACTTATATATTTCGAGCTACACTATCAGGTTGTAGTTATTATTTTTAAAAGATTATGTTTTGAAAACGTTTCATCTGCATTGAACATTTTAGGCAGACAGGCAATTACTCCTGTCAATCATAAAAGTTTGATATGATTTCATTTTTAATGAAGCAATGTTTGTCTTATTGGTGTCTCATATACTACGTGTTAGTGTAGTTAGCATAGCTCCCTTAGAGAACATCTGATAATCCTGACCTGCCATCAGTGTGGTGAAGGTGACGGTGGCGCTCCTGTGTTCCCGTCGCTCCACAGGTAACTCCCATGGCGTGCGGTGCGGCCGCGCCTCCACCTTGACCATGTACTGCATGCTGGGCAGGAGGTTATTGAGGCACAGCGAGCAGCAGCCAGCCTTCACCAGCTCACACTCCTCATCGTTCAAGGACACAATGTGCACATAGTTACTGTTGCTGGGCAGCCAGGACAGGTAGGAAGAGGTGGCGGTGATCCTCTCCACACGCAGCTGCGTGGGCGCCACACACACGTCCCGACCGACCAGCATGCTGCAGCGCATCTGGTCCGACGGGCCCTTCTCCGTCAGGCTCTGCACTGACACGCGGTAGGCCTTGAGGTTTATGTCCAGCCTCTCCAGCACTGCTTTGGTCTGGGCCCCGAAGGGCACGTTGAGCCGCAGCTCCTGGTCCACAAACACATTGTAGCTCCACACATTGCCCCAACCAGCCGGCACCAGCGGAGGGTCCCAGCCGATGATGATGCTCTTGGCAAGCTGCTTGATGAGGGTAAGCTTACGTGGGTAAGGCACAACGTCCACTCCCACCTCCTCCAAGTCCAGGTCCAGGCCGTTGGTGAGGGGGGCTGGGACAGCCAAGGCTGATGCTGAATCGGAGGGGGCTGAGGGGGGGGGCGAGGCAGCCGGGGCAGCCGGGGCAGCCGGGGCAGCCGGGGCAGCCGGGGCAGCCGGGGCAGCCGGGGCAGCCGGGGCAGCCGGGGCAGCCGGGGCAGCGGTCCTGCCTATCTGGAGGTGATGCTGGTGGCTGGCACTGTGCAGGCTGCTGTCTAGCAGGGAGTTATGGAACATGTCCCCTGTCTCTGGGTGGTGAGTGCTCATGACGTCGTCGTCCGATACGCGTTCCACAAAGTTAGAGGGGACCAGCCCTCTCCGTCCGTCCATCAGCTCACCTGCAAGGAATCACATTGAACACTGAATACCATGCCAAGACAGTAATATAAACATGTAGATGCAACAAATGTTACATTATATTTACCTTCATAGAAGCCATCGTCATCCATGTCTCCATACATGTAGATGTATTCTCCGGCAGTGAGTGGAAGCTCCACCTCAGGGTTGTCATTGGGGCCGTCATATGGATTATAGCTTTAGAAATGAATGATTAGCAAGGAAGTTACTTTTTTTTGTAATCACACATTAGCAAACTGTTGAAACAGTGAGTCAGCTCATGATTTAGTTTACCTGTATCTTGCAATGAAGACCTGAAGTTTTGCCGCTGCTCTGCTGGTTGTGAAAGGAACCGGGGCGACATCAATATCCAGCTCCTCCACTTCACTGGCGGTGTCCACCTGAGAACACCATGGACAGAAGATGACGTTTGTGCAAGCAACTTATATGTTTCATTTAGTTTTGATGAAACTGTTCTCTGGGCTTGCCAAGTACAAATCTGGAGTTGAAAAGTGAGTTTTTCTATTTTTATTATACTACAGTACATTGAGTCTTTAGGGACATGGGATTACTTTTTTTTCTATAAATCTAATTATATTTGAGAACAAAAACAGTAGTCCCATGTGCGCAACGTCAATAAATGAAAAAAGAAAATAGCCGTTTGTCAGAAAGTACAGGTCTGACATTCAACTGTGGAATTTATGAACTCATAACAAGTTATAACATGCATGCACACATATGCAAAAAAAAACAATCGTATCGAATACATTTAATAAACATAATTCTAACATAGACTTTGACTATTGATTAAAGCATCCATTCCCGATATTAGGACTAAACAAGACGGAAGACATGTGTAATTCTTCTCTAGCATACACTATGGGCACAGAAGGTAAATCCATAAAAGAAAATGGGAATATACTGTGTAAAATATATTTGTTGTATGGTGATCTAATATCAACAAGTTTGTGGAGAAACACCGTTGTACCTGAGAATAGTTTCCATAAACAGTAGTTACACGCATCACAACAGAGGGCTTGTATATTTATAGCTCCCTGGGAAAACCACAACAACTACTACTGTATAACCTTCATAATCCATAGCGCCAAATGGATTATCTCACTAAATTTGAGCTTTATTGAAATGTGGGCAGACAAGGATAGAGTAGTTGAAAAGACCACCGACCTGTCTGTCCTGCCGAAACAGACCATCAGAAAATAATTAATCATGGCGGATCCTCATAACCCTATGAATGAGCAGAGGGAGCTTGAGCATATTCAGCTACAGTGTATGCTCGCGTGAGATGACATGGAGGCTAAGGAGGGATTTTAATCCATTAATTCCACGCAATCAATCTGATCGTGCATAGCTTTTCGTCTTGGTAATCTTGATGAGCATTCTGCATGTCTGTGTGGAGCCATGACATAACCTACGACCAACACACACCTTACCCAACAAATGCAGGTGTTAAGGCAGCTTTCAAATGAAGTAGCCATCTTACTGGGGTTTCACAATGTTTTTTTAAATGTTAATCCATGCCTATACACTGTTTTATAATATGAGAGGTGAAATATATTCTTATTGTAGGTTTCGGCCAATATCGCTTTGCCTTGAGAGCAGCAACTATTTTTACAATAGGTTAATCATGAAATCTATGGCAAAAATGTCAGCTTCTAAATATGTAGATTTCCTGCTTTCTCCTATTTATATCCTATTAAAGTGAACATCGTTGGGATCTGACAAAACTAGACAGTAAAACACATCACCTTGGACTTTGAGAAACAGGAATGGACATTTTTCACTATTTTCTGATCTTTACTCCTGATTCTGTAACACGTTACAAGTGATGCACTGTACCTCGTGAGTTGGGCTTGATTTGTGCGGGCTGAGGTGTGTGTCAGACTTGGGGGTGAGGTGCGTGGGCTCTGACTTGCTGGAGGAAGACTTGCTGACGCTGATGGTGGGCAGCTCTCGATGTTTGGTGACGGGCGAGCGCTCCACCCTGGACAGCCCTGCAGCGTGGGGGGTGGACCCGAGACGCAGCGCAGCGGCCACATCTAGTAAAAAAGGGGAAGAGGATATACATAATCCACGACTTGAATAGACAGCGCCGACCCTCACTAGTTAAACTGGTCCACGAGCGGCAAGGTGGGTCAGGTCACTGGTTGACATGCAGGAAGGCTCAAGGTTGAACCTGGCTGATTAAACAGAGGAGGAGAAATCCCGTCTCCATCTGTCTGAGGTCAGAGGTCTCACTACCTTGTGTCACACCAGCACTGTTAAGGGTCTTAACCGATTCACTTCTCACCTCAGCACAAGAGTGTGACCCTTGTGCGCTGGTGAGCGTTACAGGCAGTGCTGGACTGTGACGGTGTGGGTGAGATAATGGGGGAGAACATGCCGTGCTTTTGTGACACATTTATAATAAGGCGGAGAGAGTACCGAGCGGAACATTTACCCTCAGGGCAGGAGAGAGTGTCACCTCCCTCGAGACTCCAGAAGGCTATCTCGCCCAGAGACACCATATCCCATGAGCCATCAGTGCAGTCTAAAAACATATGAAGAGTGTAAGGAAAGAGAGGTTGAAGACATTTGTGGGATGGATACACTAAGAAAGATATAGATGATTGTTGCACTTGTGCTTTTATTGTGGCTGGTATTACAATATTATAAATATTCTAAGAGGGAAGGGACATTTTAAATGCCTAGGCCTTTATTTCACAGCTGAGATTAAGCTCAGTTTGTATTTGTGATGCATAAAAGAGAAACACGGGTTAAAAAACATCCCATGTGACGTTACTGTTTAAAAGGAAACTACACATTTACCAAAACATCATCCATATACTAAAATAATGCATCTCTGATGAAAGTAAAAAAAGTGATTTGGATGATTTGAATACATTCTGTCTTTAAGTGGACTGACGGTCTATCGAGATTCCTAAGGTACTGTATGCTTTGTTCCAGGGGACAATTATCCTTTAAATGTAGATTTCCTTTGGAATTGAATGAATCCAATAACACCAACAAAGTGTATCCACGATGACATTACAATTATGGTTAGACAATGTTTTAAACTGTATCATTATCTTGATACAAAACTGAAAACATGAGAATACTTTATTTGTTGTCCTGAAGATCAGGTGAAAATGTAACTTCAAAAGCACCACTGTGTATTTGCAAATTCACTACAACTCATTCATTTACCACAAACATTTTGCTATCATGTTATAGCAGGTACATATTTCATTTTTTTAATTAAATAATCCAAAGCAATGCATTTGTCTCACCAGTTCAGTAAGAGGAACAATCTGTATTGTCCCTTTAAATATAAACCCTAATGTACAAACAACCTGAGTAACTAACAGTCTCTCTAAACAGGTTGTACTACTGTATCATGTGTGAGTACATATCACGGTGGTGTGGCTCACCTCGCTCCGAGGTCAGGCCCACCCCGTTGGTCAGAACCGAGAGGCTGGCGTTGTTGAAGAGGCCAGCGCTGGCCAGGTCCGCCTTCGAAGCCTGTAGTCGAAACTTCTCCAACTCATGGGACAGCAGGCCGAACTGTTCGCTCTGGCTGCGACATTTATCCTCCAGGTCTCGTACCTTGGACTGCACATACAGCGTGAAAACAGTTTACAAACAATGTACTTCAAATGGGAAAATCAATACATGTAAGGGCAACGGTGTGAAGAATTGTTAGTATTTACTGCGCCTTTTTATACACATGGAACATGATTTTCTTTTGTGCACATTTATGATTATTTTGGTAGATGGATCACATTGGCAGCATAACATTGACTTTTATGTGCTGCTAATGTAAGATATCAATAATACATTTGAAAAAGTAGCACTGCAATATATTGTTAGATTTTTGTCAGTGTCGCATTTGCTAGAAGCTTCAAACACAAACAGCAGAGGAATACAGGTTTAGATGAAAGGGAAAAAAGGCGGGAAGTCTTTAGCTAAGATGGGGAAACAAGAGTAAAGGTCATTTGGAGGGAGGTGCATAGTGTAGGTTATGAGAAGTTAAAGTTGCCGCTTCTGTTTTCATTCACTTTAACAAAGCCAGTTTACAGCAGGGTTATATGTCAGGAGTTTGTCTCAGCTCTACTGAGTTTCTATATGAGGCCGATTTCACTTCAGGTTGCGGTGGCAGTTTCCTGGCAGGCTCATCAGACAGAAGCCTCTGCACGAAACTAAGTGAACAACATTTCCTGTTAGCTGTCACCTACGCAGAAAAACCTAGTGTGACAGTCAGTTGTTATGTAGCTACACTGAACTGAAGTGGAACTGCAATACAGAGGGAAATCAAATCCTCAAATAAATCCTCAACTAACACAGCAAGTCCACTAAGAAGATCAAATAACAATTTTAACTTAAGAATAAGTGTTCATCGTCATCTGTGACCTTATTAACACATACTAGCATTAAATGTGGCCACAAGAAGCATAAATAAAAAACGAATTTACTAATGTACAGACAGTTATTACTGAGGATTTAAATACACATATACTGTATGGGGTTTGGTGGTTCTATCTACAGGGGCTAAGGGAGGTTTTTATGGCAGGAAGTAAATCATTTGGCCAAGCAACAGTACCTGCATGCAGTCCAGTGTACTCTGGTTAGCAAAAAGGTCACACAAAAAAGGAAAACAAAAGTAAACATGCTTGTGAAATAATAAATCCCAGATAGAGAATATATATAAGAAAGTGAATACACAGCAGTCTGAATCCAGGTAGGCAAGAAAATCCTGTATCACTAGATTGCGTCTCGGCCCTCAGCAGCCAACGCCTGCCTTTGGAATTAATTAGGATATTCTGTTCAATGTAAAAAGGCAGCATGCACACAGCTCTTGAGAGCGAATGAGACTTTCTGCTGTGATGCTTTGGGGTTTAAATAGCGACAGCAAGTGAGAGAAACAAAGCAAGAAGAAGGAAACAAGCGTTTAAAAAAACTGGAGCAACTATACTCTACCAGCTCCCTCCGCAACACAAGCTGCGTCAACTCCTAAAATAAAATACACACTTATTTTAGCAAAATGTGTGGAGAACAGAGCACAGTGTATAGTAGTTAACTGGGGGAGGACTTTTTGGTGCTTTTTTCATTATTTGAAATCAGCAGCCAATCATACAGACGGGGACTTCCACTGTCATCAAATGTCTGCTTTCATTTTGAATTTACACACACTGAGAGCGAGTATAAACGTCACACAGTGGTGGAGCAGCCATCTGTTCAAACGGTTTTTCAGGGCCATGAGTGGAACAAAAATACAAGTATGAGTATTTTCTGCAACAGCTTCTCTGCCAGGTGTTCAGATAAGGAAACATGGTGCTGCAGGTTCATGCTGATTCAGTGGAAATGAGATGTCTTTTGTCTATTAAACCCTGGGAGATAATTCAATATTTATACTTGTTTTACTTGGCGTAAGGGAGATAAGAAACACCTCCTTCTATAATGAATTGAGACAGAAATTCGCTAGTGTATGAGACAACTACTGAGGAAGTCTGAAACACACTCCTCCTTTCTCAAATGTCTTCTCAAACTCTTTTGTGTCTGACACCATTGATTATTGTTTTAGCAAGTCATTTTACGTTCTCGAAAGCAACTCCGAGCTTATAAAAACACTACACTGTGAGGATATAATGTGTTTGGTGTTACACAGACTTACCTCCAGCATCTGAACAACTCCTTCATGCTCCCTCTTGGCGTATAACTGAGCCTGAGGATAAATAAAAGGCATTGTAGTCCCTTTATTGTTGTTTGCTCATAAAATTCTCAAGCTCGGTTGACACTTATGGTTTTATTGGTGCCCAAAGGTTGCCTCCTGCTGGCTGAAGCCAATCATTCCCCCAAAAATGAGCTTAAAAGCTGCCTAAGGGTTCGATTCTAGCAAGAAAATTAATAAAATGCATAAATTGTACACGAGGCTGTGGTTCTTACCCGCTGTAACCGTTTGATTTCATCCTGTTTGAACGTAAGGATAGCCAGTGCCTGATCATGTTCCAATTCCAGCTGCTGCCTTCGCTCGGCGACCTCACGCATATGCTGTTCAGAAAGAGAAAAAATATCAGAAGGCCATTTTTTTCAGCGGGGGATAAAGCTGTATCTGAGCCCAGCAGTACCTTTAGGACCTGCTCTAGGTTCTCCAGTTTGGCACGGAGTCTCTGGTTCTCCTCGAGAACTGAATTGTGTTGAGCGGTCACTTCAGAGAGATCTTCCCTCAGCTCCTCATTCTCAGCCCGAGTCTGACAAACCGGAGAAAGGAGAATTATGTCAGAATTATATTATTGACAATATTATTTTACATTTGACTGCCACACTAGTATGGACTGAAAAGTCAGAACACTTGTCCTAGGTGGATGCTTTCTCATAATGTCAATGCATGCGCAGATCTTCTCATTTCCTTTTAAGAGCTTGTCTGAGCAGGTAGACCCGTACCTGGTCGAGCAGCAGTGCCTTCCTCCTGAGGAGATCTGCCTCCTCCTTTAGTCGCTCATTTTTGCCTCGCTCATCCTCAAGCTGGCTCTCCTGTTACCAAAACAAAGCAAAAAGTTCGGATAAAACGAAGACAAGCCATGTCTTTAAACTCATCCTTATGTCCACTATGATAGGACTGTGGCGAACAGTTCCAAACCTCATTTATAACATCAAATTGTAAATTACAGCATTTTTTTTGTTTAAGCCAATTAATGCTGATCATTTACACATAAAGATTAGACCACACTAGTATTTTCAGAATTATACTCTCTACAAAATGATTTCAGTGGTGGTGGCGAAGGATTGTTTGCGACTTCCGAAACATTTAAAATACTAACTCTAGAGTGTTCTCCAAAAGTCAAAATGTATTGAAAAAGGATAGATATAATAATTTCCGAAAAGAACATATTTTAACGTAACTAAACAACCTGCTTCAATCTATATTTGTTGGCGGTGAATCATTTAAAAAAACATTTTCATTGCTCTCCAACATGTCAGGGCAGCAATAGCAATTTCCCCAAAAATATTTTCCCCCCCATTTCTTTTAAGGTGATAACATCTAAAAATATGACGAAAGACATTGAAATCTTCTAAATAGAAGCTTTTAATTGAAAAGTAATTGCAGCGCTACACCTAGGTTCAGAGGGAAAGGAAAAGCAAATATTGGAGCAAAAGCTTCTCTTACCAAATCCAGACATCTCTTCTGTCGCTTCTTTACTTCATGCTCAAGGTTTTCACATTCTTTTCTCTTCTTGCTCAGCTCACTTTCCTGCATCGACAACAACAACATGTAGAATATTAAATTATTTCTATTTACGTTTTGCAATGCTGTTTACATTGGCTTTAGCTTCCATATTGACCTCAGGCTTGATGGCAATGAGGCATTACAAAGCTTAGCATGCTTTAATTATTCTAAATGCAGCTTACATGCCAGGACCAGCATCGAAGAAATCAGCTTATTTCAGACAGCCATCGGACCTCCAACCATTATTACAGCTGTGACTGTGTGTGGGGGGGAGGGGGGGGCTATAGAGGAGACTACAGGCTAATTATAGGCCGCCAGCAGAGATAATGTCCCAGTGATGGCACAGGAGGACTCTAATGATAATTACACTGGAATCTGTGATCTAATTTGCTTGATTGTGCAACAGTCGCAGCTTTAAAAGCCTGAATAACGTATATCATAGTGTTGTTCAGTCAAATCAGGGCTGTGAAGTAAATGGACCAGGATGGCGGCACTGATTGGAACTTTAATGTTCTGCCAGCTGTTTCACAATCACAACTGTTTAACTTAACTTTTGGTTTTCAGTCGTTTTTGAGTAGATAGAATTTTGCATTTGATATAACTTTTACAGTTTTTGAAGGTTAAATACAATTATCCGTCTGCATTATATATTGTTCTTTCAAATGTTCAATCAAACAAACCTAATAGGCTAGAACCAATAATGCAGAACGAATGTGGATATAACTCTTTTTCAAAGTTTTTTTTATAACGTATAACAAAACCGCAAAGATAAAAATATGTTCCAAGTTAAAATAATTCACATTACTCCTCGTTCAGCTATAATCTGTGCCCTTTAGCTTCAAATGTATTGATGCACAGTATTAAACTAACTTATATTATGTACATGCTCACTCCCTTCATAATTATGCACATTTTAATTACGAGTTCAGTAAAATGAGACAGCTGTGTGTGCAGAAATAATTCAGTTGACAGGAGTGCATCTGCAGAATAATTAGGACATCTTACAATCAGAACACTTCGCTTACAGCTTTTTAAAAGGCTACTGACACATCAGTATGAGGGCAGTGCAGATACAAATTGCAGTTATATTGCATGTGCTCTACTCAGTACTCATCCTGACAAAGACTGTCAACACAAAGCTGAGAGGGAATATGTTCCATTTAAGCCACGAGGCCCACTTGGAATCAGCAAGGGCAATGTGCTACTCTTCTGTTTCCAGGGGACAAGATCAAAATAATCCCAGCGTTGCATAACAGATCGGACTGTAGTTTCCTTCAGTGGCAGTCAGCTCAGCCGCAGCACTGAATTCAAGCCTTAGTTTCACATGCAAAGTTAATAGCTAGAAACATGCATTAAGGCACAATGTGCAGTTATTTCTGCTAAGAGGAGTGTAGGACTTAGAAATGACTTAGTGAAGGAAAAGTCCATTTTAAAAGCCAACAAGCAATAACCAGAATTGATGCATTCTGTTACAATATCATCCGAGTTTGGTGCTAAATGCTCTCACCAGAAACTGTAGGTGCTGCTCCTCTGTGTGCTCCTCCTGATGGGAGGGGGTCGGGCTAAGGCCCGTTTGGGGCGTTACTCGCAGCCCCGACTCCTCCTCCTCTCCGGGAGTCTTCTCACACCTGGATGGAGCTTCATCTAACACCACACATGGGGTCTCTCCTACAACCTGGAGGGGACACAAACAACATCCAGTAAGTCACTTCATAAATGTACAGCCATCATCTGTAAAGGCGAGAACCAAGATATAAAAAAAAAATTGTAATGATTGTTTAACGCATTCTCATTCAAGGGCTCATATGAATGTAATTCTTGTGCGTGTTTCTACGATTGTCCAGCAACTTGAGCGATTAGTATGCCTGCACAACCCCCTGCAGTGCTGACCCTGAACCTGTTCAGATAACCCAATTACTTGGCTAGGTTTACGAAAATAAGTTTTTGATTAAAATAGGCATACATGGGCCGCCATATAGTTCACCTGGTAGAGCTGGCGGCCCATGTATAGGGACTCAGTTCCCATGCGGAGAACCCAGGTTCGAATCAAGCCTGGAACCATGTAGTACGCATGTCATCCACTCTGTCTCCCCCTTTCAACACTGTCATCTCCAATAAAGGCTAATCTGGCCCAAAAATCCTTACAAATAAATAAATAGGTGTATCTATGTAATTGCTGAAGTTTAAGCAATACAACTACTTTATTTTAACCTCAAACAACTTTGGGTTAATATAACTACGAAAATGGCATTAAGGAAACAATGTGACAAATGAAACGTGAATTTCTGGTTTGGATTAAAAATGACAATGTTTAAACTACTTGCTTGTAAAGGAAATACAACTACTTGGATTTGTTTACTCAAAGATTGTGTTTTGGATTAAAAATAAGTATGTTTGAACTACTTGCTTAAGTTTAGGCAAGAAAACCACAAAATTCACAAAAAGATTGTAGATTGAGTTAAAATAACTGCGGAAATGGCGTAACGTAAGTCACCTCACAATGTAAACGTTAACTTCTGCTTTCTTTTGGGACACGAACAGTGGTCTCCTGGTCTTACTACATGGGCTTTACTGTTATATATACTACAGTATGTTGCCAGTTCTGGTTTTTAATGAAAACGTGGGTTAGACATAAATGTATTACGTGGATTACTTACGAATAAATTCATTTTTAGGTTACAGTTACGGTTTAGTTCAAAATTATTCCAATGTTACATACAGTCCGAAAAAAATGTGGGTTACTTTCATTCAAGTTCATTGCGCGGCTAACTTATATACACATTAATTATGTCGGTAATATTCAGTATGAATACATTACATGGGTTACTTACATAAAAATTAATTACGTGGGTTATTTACGAACAGATTCATTATGTGGGTTATTTAAATACAAATAAATTATGTGGATTACTTTCAAATAATATAGTATGACTCTTAGTAGGTATAACTACGAACACTGTGCAAGAGCAACCTGGGTTGTTATATTGTACAGTAACACTCAACATTAAACCCCCCACACAGTGAGGGATTAGCAGCAAGCCTCCTTCCCAGTTGTCCAACTACAATCAAAGAATAATCCGGGGGGAATCCCTGCAGCCTGCGACAGGACTCAAACACATTAGCAGGGAAGCCTGTTCTTTGTAATTAGGCAGCAGTGCAGTGACCTGAATGTTTCACAGTGGCTGTTTTCTTTGCTGTTCATTTTAAAAAGTTGTATGATTTGTCTTACTTGGATCCAGGTGGTAGACATTGGCTGACATTGGTTAAGGGTTAAGAGTCGGGAATCAGTATCTAAATTTAGAGCAAACCTACTTATGCTCAAAGTAGAACTGTGCTAGTGCAGCCAAAGCCATGACCCAATAACAGGATCAAAGGCGCGGTGTCACGAGCTGGGGAGAGGATCTCTCCTTTACACCCTGCTTACTTTCACATTGTTAGTCACTCAAAGACCTCTCAGTCCAGACTACAGCGTTTTCATGGAGATACTTATATGTACGGATCATTTTATTCTATGTGTAACACTTATTTGTCATTAGTTTTTTCTGATCCATGATGTCAATGAGGGTCAGAAGTTCGTTCGCCATCCCCCACTGCATTCAACATGTCCTTGGGCAAGATATTTAACCCCAAATTCCTCCCAGAGGCATGTCTAAGCTTTTGAAGTGTAGGTAAGTCACATTGGATGAAAGCACGAGCTAAATAACATGTAATGTAATACTACGGAGAGTAAAGAAGGCAAATATTAACGGAATAAATTAGTGAGGTTAAGCGCTACAGGAGCTTATCGATGTTTCCAGTGGATGGTGAATCCTACTGTTTTAAAAATATAATACACAATAAAAAGAGGCAAAACATTTAGCAAATGTAACAAAAGTATTGTATTTCTTTGATATGGTAGCAATTAGCTGCAATGTATCTTTAATATTTTAGAAAAAAATACTTATTTTGAAAGTAATTCCATTTACCAACTTTAATATGATGATAATACCATTGAGAGAAAGAATATAAACTAATTTGAGCAAAGGGAAAACCAAGTATTGGAGTGTGGTTCCTGTGGTTGCCATCAACTTTCTAACTAATTAAAATAGGGACAGCAAATAGCAAATAGCAATATCCATAAATGTTAAATATATGTTGCACTAGAGATTTTGAGAAAAGATTCCTCTTACATTCAAAACTGGAACAGCACTACCACAATTTGAAAGGGAGAGAACGGAAGCAACCACTGAAAACAAACACACAAACATACACACACACACACACACCTTGACTCAACCTTAAGTCCCCTTTCTCAAGGATCCTTTTAAGGACCATCACCTTATTTAATGGATATTCAATGATTCCTTTTGAATACAACAAACATTTGAATGGAACACAAGCCAGTGGAAGAACAAACCACTCAGCTCTTTTATTAGCAATGCCACTTAGTCACTTTAAGATGCAGTTTCCCTTTTATGTGTATTGTGTGAATTGCATGTTGTAATGTGTATGGCGTGTATTTTCCAGTGCCAAAGACACATTTCCATTTTATGTACATGTATTGAACAATAAAGTATTCTGAATCTAAATCCGAAATCTGGATACATTTTTGGGGATCTGTGAAGAGCATGACAACAGCTGCAGTAATGCTATTTTTTATACCAAGAATCAACGTGGACATGTTGACCCTTGAATTTTCAAACTACCAAGAACTTTATATAACATTTGAATTATTAAGATGATGTATAACTGATTTACAATTTCTCTGCCACACGGCAATGACTTTAAAAGTTAGTATTTAGGCCTGATTGGTGTGATATAATACTATATATACCAAGATAAAGTTCCCAGCATCCTATCATTCTTCCTTATTATCACAATAGTTCTACTTCTGGCAGCATGAGGATTGGGGGAAAGTTTTCCTGTCTCCACAGGATAAATATTTGTACAGATACAGAAGATCCCAACAAGCGGTCCTCATGACCCACAGTGACTGTTGAGCCCCAAATGAGTGTCATGTCTGTGGCGTTAAGCGAGTCTGTCCCCAGTTTATCTTTTGGCTAGGTGACCAGATGGTGTTAGTAGTGGTGACGAAAGGCCGGCAGGAGGCACTAATACCATTGGCCCCTGTACAAAAAACAGTGCACAGCCATGAGGGCTTTAAAAAAAACACTGCTGACTTTTCTGTTGCTAATTCCTTTTGCTGGTCATTAAGATCCTGTCACATCCATCATACGTGCCCGGCAATCCTGGCTAGAAGCCCACGTTTGTATTTCGGCAGCCGCGGTTAAACCTGTCTTCTTGGGATTCTTAATTAGCTTGTAGCATGTCACACCTATTGAGTGGGTTGGCTTAAGTGTGTGGAGCAAACTGCAATAATCTGGCAGGCTTTTGCCAATGTAGTGACACAAAAGTGGTGGCAAAGGTGAAACCCTACGTCAATTTGAACACACCTCATCCTTTTTAATTATTATTGTTCTACTTGCAGCTTTTCTTTACGTCGTTACTCGTGTCCTTTCCATACCGCTACAGAGTTATGAGATGCATTTTTACACTCAGTGACAACATATTATTAAGTATGATTTTTATTGCTATTGGTTTACAAACCTTTAAAGAGGAGCAATCCTTTTTGAAAAAGAAATGTTGGTTCACAAAGCAAATCTAATCAGGATTTAGGTGACGGGTGATATCAAGGTTGTGACGGATGAACACAGGGCGAATGTAACATAATCCCTCATTTATAAAATATTAGGAGGAATAAAAGGAACTGTCATAGAGAGCTTTAGGCCAGAGCTTTAATGAAAAAAGGTTTATGTGGCAACACTTTGACCAAACAAAAGTTAGTGTGGCCAAAAGGCACTTCATGTTTTAGAAAATTACTTAGTGCTGTGTTTAATTCTCTTTCTTCATTAGGACACTAATGATAAAAAGATCAATTGAGTCAAATTGAGCATAATCTGAAATACAAAAGCTAACAGACCAGGTGTTAAAGGAGTAGTGCCCAAATTCATGTGAATTTGCAATTGTATAGAATCTGAGAATCACATATTCAGGCATTCTGATGGTTTTTACAATGAGTTCTCAATTAGTATTACTATTACTTACTATATTCACTCCATTTCTTTTCACAATTCGCTTGCAAGAAGATAATCTATTTAAACATATTCAGCAAATAAAATACCAAATTGTCTTTTTCAATCACTAGAAACAGCAAAGAAAGGAATCAATAGCTGAGTCAATCCTACCACTAAACAGGGACAAAGCCTATTAGCTTCACTACTTTCATCAATTCAAGAATATTATATATTTATTAAAATGTGGGTGAAAGAGTAAATCCTGTCAGATTAGAATCAGTACCCACAGGACAACTATAGAATATATGTTGAATAGACGTTGACCAGTATATATGCGAAGAGTTTGTGCTTGCGTTGTCCTTAAACAGTTCAAAACACTACATTTATAACCAGCTATAATACATACAAAAACTAGAAGCATTAATATAAAGATTTATAATATCCGAACAGTTATAATAAAATATACCATTGTTTAATTGAACATGTTTTAATATTTGTATATATTCAGCAGAGTAGTAATAAAATAAGTGTACAGCTTGTTCCTGGTCTCATCTCAAACTAACACATCAAGCCATACTAACATATTATGTAATAGTTATATAATATGTGAATGTATTAATGGTGTCCATGTTGGTCTTACAATAAGTACGAATGATCAACTAGTCAATGTCATGTGTGGTCGAATCAAAAATATGCTACGATTAACATCAGCTTCAAATACATACAGTATATCAATCTAAATATCAGTTCCCGCTTTCAAAAGATAATTATGACATTTCACCAATTTTAAAATGTGATGATTACCACATACTGAGATATTTGTGACAATATCTGACCAGATTGTTTTTTACTTTGCTTTACACACAAATATAAATAATGACAATCTCTACAGCATGGGGCATTTAAACATGCTGTGCAGACACGCTTCGTAATGTTGCTGAAGCCACTGGAGTCAAATTAAATATAATCTGGTAGGACAAAAGCTGCTTGCATGTGAAAATGTTCATATAGTATTGGACACTGCAATTAAGTACATTGTTAGCTATCCTTAACTTCAATATTATGTTTCCTGGCAGGCAAACTTGCACATAAATACAGATGTGATTATTATTTGTTTTTAACCTGAATTGGCTCTAATTTATCAGTAAATATAACTTATGCATTTCATTTTCTTTTATAACATGTATGACATTAAAAGAAGTGCATGTGATCTTTAAAATCTAACAAGCCTGTACCTGATTGCTATGCATTCAAGCATTGAGTAAGTCAGGCTTATACACAGCATACATGTGAATGGCAGACATTTGCAGGCTTTACACTGCACTTATGTTAACTATTGATGATACTATTTATTTATAGACCCTTAATGGTTGTTTATTTTACCCTTTACATTCATTGCTAACTTTCAATGTGGTTCCTTATTGAAAACATTTGAATTATTAGTTTCTGTTGCCGGTGCGGTTGTTTCACCTGAGCTTGAAAAATACTTAGTCACTTTACAAAAACATTCTACACAATAAACAAATATGCAATGAAGTAAATAAGATAAGAAACAAAGAAACTATAGAACAGAATGCATTAGGAACTGGTGGAGTAATGATGCAGGGGGAGGGAGTTCAACAGGAAACAGTTTTAAGTCATGGCTTTTGATGGCTTCTTGAAAGGATGTCAATATTATTATGTCATTGATTGTTTTCTCTGGGGAATTTTAAAATCCTACATTTTCTCTTAATGTTTTATTTTTCAGCTTTTTATTATAGTATGTATTTTCCTGATTTCTTTTTCTATTGTATGCTATATTGACAATAAGGTATTTTCCTCAATATACTTCTGAGTTCATTAAGAGTTCGTTTGAATGGATGAAACTTGAAGAACAGTTCTCGCTTGATGTCATGTTCTGCTCACATCCCATCACCTGATGGCTGATCTTGATTTGGTCGGTATTATGGATATACTGGGTCATGGCATAAAGGAAAATATATCAGAATATATCAACAGAGAACACGAGTACTTCTATATACTTCGAAAACATAGAAATCAGAAACGTCCTCTCCTGTTTCCGTACTTCCATGCACTTTGCAAACGGACATGTTTAATATGACATGATGAACTATACTCCTTTTAAAATTGAAATGTTTTGAAACGTTGCTGCTGGCTTTTCAGTCACAGTAGAACAAGAACTTCACATGTCACTCCAAAAGTAAATTGGACGTAGAGGGTATGGCAAAACTAGTCTAAAGATTGTGCATTCAGAAAAACATTCAAATGATAAAATACATGAAGTCAATACTGACATTTTAAAGAATGTGTGAAGTTATATGAAACATTATCAATGAATGGCCAGATGAAGGATGCAGCCGTGTCTAACATATATCCTCACAGGCAGTTTGAATGTTACGGTAGCTTAGATCCTAGATCAAATCCTCCTGTAGCTGAGACTCGCCTCTACGTGCACTTTGCGTCACACAGCGAGGTGCTATTGTGTACACCTCACACTGATGTGGTCCATGTATACTAGAGGATCAAGTACACCTTGGGCCCATGCGTACTAAAGCAGGGTCAGATCCCATTCGGCAGGCCCTGAATGCCATAAGCACATTGGTGTAATCCCTGCAGACTACTGAAACGGGTAACTGGATCACTTCTTTTAAAAGCACCTTAATGGATTGGCCTGGCCGTTGATTTTCTTTTTAATACGTAGCATATCGATGTCCACCAATCAAACGCTCTACCACCCTGTCACTAAGTCCCCCCCATCTAAATTCTGCATCTGGAAGCTCCAAAATATGACAGTTATAAAACCGTGTTTCTGACTGGCTGCCCTTCAATAGGCCTAATGCATGTCGCTTCTTTCTAATTTGTAAGGAAGTAGCATGCCATTACAGACATGGCTGTAATTTCGCAGAGGATTTACTGAAATGAACATAGAAAAGCAGCAGCTATGAGACCTAGAAGAAAAATCCTGCCAATAGCTGCAAGTTGTTTTTGTTAAACTTACATGTAACAGTTATAATCTTGCAGAATAAGATGCTGTTTTAAATATCTAACACAAATGATCGCTCCCGATTTGTCATGTGACTGATTAGTTTTCAGGGTTAAGTCTGAACTTTGAGTTCTGCAGGGCTGCAGGCTCACGTCCAAGCAGGCACATACGAGGTTAGTAAACGAGAAGTACAGCGGGAACGGAGACCGACACACGGAGACGACAAAACTCAGAAGATGACCTACCCCTTTGGTGTGATCTGTGCCAACGTCAAGGCGTCCCTTGGCCTGCTAGTTATCCAGAGCAGGGCGAGATAGCAAAGTCTTTAGTGCGACTGGAGTCTTACCTACCATGCAAAACCCTCTCACCGCTGCCACAGCAACAGAGAGCGGATTACTGGACTGTACCATTCTGTTGTTAGAGGGGATTAGAGTTCACACAACATGGCCCCTTTCTGGGTGTGCGCGTCCGACAAACAGGGGAGATTACCACAATCGGCATTCTCATTTGAGCTTCACAGGCAGAGAATTTACTCTACTCCACAGAGAGGAAATTTTTTTTATCTCCATAAAAGAGATGTATGCCTTTAGGGTGATCAAGACTGATTCTAACGCACATAAATGATGCCTTTAAGAATGTCACTATTTCAATGATATGTCACTGTTAGATGTCAGATGTTCAGTGGCGTGACAAACTAAATGTTTCAATTATTGTAATGTAATTCCTGCAATACATTACTGTACATATTTAAATATTTAAGGCGTAAAGTATGTGCATTTTTTTTTTTGCCCTGAGATTGATCGGCACTGATCACTTCCCAAGTAAATTAATGTTTCTAAGAAGTGAGAAGCGAGGAGATGAGTATTAAATGCAGAGGGGATGGGAGTGTGTGACTTCTGTATCTTTGATCAGGCCCAAGTTCAAGGCAGGGAATCATCTCATTATGGCTCGTGGCAGATTAGTATCGAGTCCAACAACAAGCCATTATGCAACACTGCGAACCAGCATGCATGCCAACGTAAATGTACACTGGACTTGGGAAAAACTCAGTGTGCATGACCAAGGGGCAAATAATTCAAACCATACTGCAGTGCAAATACCGTTTGCAACCCTAGGTGTAAAACAGTATCTGGTGTGTGTTGCTTTTTCATCATACACTTACATGTAACTGCAAGTAAAACGAACAGCATCATTGTAGCCGTTTAAAAAAAAACGTATCATCCCAAATGCATATATAGAACTCTGCACAAATGTCTATATCCCAACTACAGCTTAGTATATTCCTTTGCATCTATTTCCATATTTGTTTATTACTTATAAAAGGGCTTGTGGCTCTATATACAAGAAATAAATAGCAAATGTGCAACATCCAGAAGCACAATATGCAAGTTATCCTACTATATTGTATTAGTGTTGGATATGTGTTAATACACCGTCAGTATTTATACTTAATTTGGTTGGAAGACATTAAAGGAATTCTATTGATGTCAGCATTTCTTAGTTTGCATAGACAAGGCCCTCTAATTCAAATCCCTTATACCAACAGGGGTCAGCGTAGCCTTGATCTGAGGGGGTGCTTTTACCTTATCTTCCTCCTCTTCTTTCTTGTCTTCCTCCTCCTCTTCTTCCTGGATCCTCCCATACTTCGCCGGGCCGCCAAGGTCGGGACTGTGGTCGTGCTGCTGCCCAGATGATGTGACGGACAGCTGCCTCTGGAGCCGCAGCACCTCCCTCTGAGACTCCCTGAGAAGCCTCTCGAATTCCACTCGGCCAGATGGAAGAGGGGAGCCCTGCACAGACACAGACGTATGCATCAAAGACAGACAGGAACGTTGTCAAGGCATCACAATATTGGTACCGTAGCATCCGGACAAAGGCCACCAGATTCAGGGACTATTTGTCCCACAGGCCATTAGACTGTTAAACTCCTTAGCTCTTTGAACCACTCACATGCTGTTTGTTTATAATACACTGTTTATTTGTACATCCTTTTTATTCCACACATGTACATATTTATATATTATAACAGTAACCAGTATTTATTCAACTCTACAGTATTTCATTTGAAAGTTAGGTATGTTCTATCGTAAACGACCTTGTGTAAATATTTCTTATTCATGCTGCTTGCTTGCACTGTTATGTCTGTTGCACTGTTTTATTTGTTTTGTTAAGTAGTTAAGACTATTGCTCTTGCGATTTAGAACTGATTTCACAACACTCTAAGATTGTGTTTAATTGATACATAGATTTAAAACAAATGCGATAAATGAAAACAGTAGTAGATAGAACAGTCAGAGGGATATCACATAGCTTAAAGCAGCAGTAAAACTGATTCTACAGTAGGTCTTAGACATCGTCTCATACGGACTTTATATCTAAATGTTCCCTCTCAAGTTGAGAATACTCCTTCATCTGCCCTCCACCTTGTCCTCATTACTTGGTGAGAACCTGGGACGTCCCACACAGACACTCTCACTAGATCAATAGCCAGCTTACCCTGGGAGACCCTGCATTATGAAACCCAGCAGATGTTCACATTCAGGAGAATGAGCTCTTAAGTCACTGGAGCAGTAATTAGAAACAGGCACTTAGAAAGGCAGCCTATTCCTGCACTGTCATCGAGTCATCCGCAGTGACGCAGCCCCAGTAATACGGCTTAGGAGGGAGTTAGGAGGAGGAGGAGTGCCCGTGGTATCCAGCAGAGGGCGAGCTTGTGGCAGGGATGAGGAGTGGGCTATATGAAACAAGGCAAAGAACTTGGAAGAACTGTTATGTCAAGTCTTGGACCTTCTCAATATAACTATAATTTAATTACAGTTTCCAGATATTGGAAGAGGCCCATGAGTCTCTTTGCTAATTATCAATGGTCTTTGCAATTAACAGCAGATGTACCCATGTTAAGTAAATTGGCAAAGGTCAGAGGAACTCCAAGAGAGGTCTTCCTCAGATATAATACAGTTAAAGTCTTGTTAGTTAGTGGTTCATATCCAGCATGCATTAGCTAAGAAACGATAAGGATGTTGGTGTGTGACATCTGGAACTTACATGTTGCTCTGATGTTGGTGCGTCAAAGTTTAGGAGACCTGACAATGTGTGTGCGTTAAACATGATTAGGGAACATGTTCGTGTGTCCTGTGTTTCTGAATATTCGCGGGAGCATTTCTGCGATTGGTTGCTGTTGAAGCAAGGTAATGTTTCCCCATTGTTGTTTGGTGGTGCGCAACTAAATAATAATGATTAATCTCAACTATTTCTGTGTTTGTGTTTCATTGATTCCTCTCTGTTTCATTCTTTCCTGTTGTGTGAGTGCTGGATCTCCACAACAGAACCATAAAGTTACCTCAGCTTTGTTTTTGTTTACTGTGGTGGAGGAAGAATTCAGAACCTCTACTGTAGTAAAAGTAACACACAAATACAAATGCAAGTACAAGTCCTGCATTGAATGTTACTAAAGGAAAAGTTTGTAAGTATATTCAGGAACATGTATTTCATTTTTCAAAAGTGTGAAACGAGGAAAAATAAGTCCTCTGTGAATGCTTAACTACTAAATATAATATTGTTCAAATTTAATATTTCTTGAATTTATGTAAAGGCACGAGTTCACTCACTTTTCTATAATGATTACCTAATGATTATTTTCATTTTGGACTTATATTTTCTCCATTAATATATGAATTGCTTGGTTTGTAAAAAAGTCAAACATATTGTCACAAATGACACAGCCACCCAAACATTTTTTGTTTTGTCCAACCAAAAAAAAAAGTTTAAAGTTTAAATGATTAAAATGTTGGAACATGATGTGTTTTTGTTAGAAAAAGGATGTTTTATATGTTTAGTAACTAAAACTGCGAGATAAATGTAGTGTAGTAAAAAGTACAATATTCCCCTCGGAGATGTAGTGGAGTAGAAATAAAAGTACCTCAAAATGTAACTTTAGTAAGGTTAATGTACTTAGTTACACTCCACCTCTGTGGCCCAAAGTGCTTCACATAGAAAAGGAGAGCATGTGTCTTTACCATGAGTCCAAATCAGTGAGCACAGTTCACAGCAGTTAAAGAGGGGCTGTGTGATAAATACCTTGGTGGTGCCCAGCCGTGACTCCAGCTCTCTGCACTCCTCCTGCAGAGCGGCGATCTCTTTGTCTTTAGACAGCAGAGCATCGGCGTGCTGGGCCAGGTCCCGGGCCCGCTGACGGGCGAACGCCCTCTTGTACTGTTCCACTGACCCGGGTCTCATCAGCGACGGGGAGTTCACCTGAACAACAGCAACAAGGAAATAGGTCTTTGAATCACCAGACGGGATTTCCTAGAGGAAGGAACCTTTCCTCTTTCAAATAAAAAGTGTATCATTTTACTCAGTAGATATCTGGTATTGGCAGGTGGTATAGGTAGAGCAGAGGTACTTGTATTGTCCTTCTGAATAACAGAGGCGTGTCAACCACTGTAGGTATTTTACTCTCTGTGGGTCAGTCTCTCATAATAAAAGCTGACTTTTAAGTTAATCAAGCCTCACAAGTCTTTCTTTTGGTGTAGATTGATCAGAGCTGCATTGCTGTGCCCTTCAGTGAGCAGCAGGAGGTGAGCGGGGGAGGGGAGTCTGGTGAACAGGTGCAATGTGAAAACACACCAGTGACCGAAGCATCCCAGACAGAGAGAGGTAGCCCCTACTGCTCTTCAGGAGAGATAGAGGCTCATCCACATCAAGAGTAAATACTACATCCAACTTCAAAGAGTGATACCTTGCATGCATGCAGCTTATCGTTAAATTAAAATGACAAATTATCAACCTAATTATTTACAATTTCACCAACAATGAGTGCGCTGTGGAAAGATACATTATAGTTATTATAGTATTTTTTACATTACAATTTTAGAAAAAGGTTGAATTGTTGCAAATAAATATGATCTTTCAGTCAAAGTTATTCTCTGAATCAAAAATAAAAATCTCCCCCTTTTTCCCTAATTTCAGCCCCTGGTGGATATTATCTCAGGAAACGTCCTAGTTCCTCCATCCATTCTAGTGATGCATTAAATATTTAATAGGGAGCTGGTATTTTTTCAACAAGGCTCCCATTCATCACATGCTGAACTATTCCATTCAAGTCATTACCGGACATTATGGTGATGTGGTTATTTGGATGGTGCTGCGTGATAATGAGTCACTTTGGGTCACAGTGGGGGCAAAGGCTGGGAAAAGCATTTCACACTGAAGCTGTAATTTGATGTATTTAATTTGTGCCGTATACCACTCTGAGGTTGGCCTCCTGTAGTTTGCGAGCTCTGTCTTCCAGCCTCTTAGCGAGCACAGACAGCTCAGTGTTCTTCCTCCTCAGCCGCCTGACCTTCTCCTCCGTCTCTGGGGCGCTGCTCTTCCACTAAACAAACGGGAAACAAACAGCCTCATCAGACAACGCCTGCAGCTAAAATTAACACTAACACAACAAGCATGAAAGTCAACATTTCTACATTTTTGCTTATTCCTGAACAATCGTTTTAGATTGAATGCAGAGCTGGGATGGTAGTTTATTTTTTTTTTACTAATTACCCGTTAACCAAATGTAATCACGGAAAGTATCACAATATAAAAATAATGTAACCTGATCAATTTCATTTACGTTTGAAAAACCTACAAATCAACTACTGTGTTCAAAAAGGTCCCCTCTTTTCCCCTCTGTCTGAAAACAGCTCAATGTGTTGGAGCGCTAGCCAAAAGAAGCGCGAGTGTTACATAGTGATCTCACTATGTTACGGAAGTAATCAAAGGACTACAATCTTTCAGAGCCTACATTGGATGTTTACACTTTGACTATCACAGAACATTAACAGTGGGATAGCACTGCTTTCACTGACTGACTTTTCTCCTTAGAACACAACATGATTATTGATCGCGTTTCCATCCAGGAAATTGAAAGCATTCTTTGAACTAGAGGCTACGAGCATAAGAAGGAAGTTTAGTTATGATTTCACTCGAGACTCCTTTCACTTTTTTCAAATGTATAGCAACATTGTTACCCTGCTAGTTATCCCCGTTTTAAAACAAGTATCCATAATCTGATTACCTCTTTGTTATGCAACTGTAAAGGAATACAGTTACCTTTTAATGTAATCTGATCACATAATCTCGTTGTTTCTGATACTTCCAAAGACTGATTAAATGGCACACTTCCTACTTAGTATAACTTTTGCGTGTGTTACCCGGAAGACATTCAGAAGATTAATGGGGAAACACTCTGTCAAGATAATGATCTATTTATAAACAGGATAAATGACGCCTTGCTGAAACTATGCACGTTAAAAAAGTTTAGTTGGCTCCGTCTGTGCTCTTGGCCTACTTTCTAGGAAGCTTTCAGTAAAGACTGCAGACTCTGCTATTATATTTAGACTTACCAGCAGGCCATTCTCCTCCCTCAGTGTGGTACAAGTCTTCTCCAGCTCATCGAGGGCTCGCAGGAGTTCAGAGTTCTGACGCACCAAGAACCCATAGTCAGTACCATTCTGGAAAACAAGCACAACACAGACAGACGTTTAGCAAACACAGCCTTTTTATTGTTTTTATAATACACCATGAAAATAGTTTTGGAGAGAAAGGAGATCGAGTTTCATTTCATAGAATTTATTAAATCTTGTTCCATCTCTGGGTAATTGGAATGCCTCCCTCTGCTTTCAGCCAATATTTACACAGCACAATCTAATAGTGGCTGACAGATGACAGCACTCTGAGAAGGCTTTTCATTAGTCCAACTCAATCAGCCTACCACTGGCACTGAATACCTATTACTCCACATGAACTCAGCATTAGAGGACAGAGAGCTGTGGTTGCATATTGAGCTATCAAGAGACAAAGAGAGGGCAAGAAAAATTACAATTACACATACACCAACATGTCAGGTAGCAGTCTGCATCCATGTCCATCCAAACTCTTATACCAGAAAATATATGCAACAAAGACTTAGATGGAATGTATTAAACTTGTAATATAGAATGAAAAAGATGCTGTCTTCACTAGGAGACTATTTCACAAAGGGCCGATAGAGAGCTTTGTTACATGTTACAATCATCTGACGTGTAACATCAGCAATACAATGAGTTTGAGGTGGATGTTGGATTAAGAGAGAGATAGGATAAAACACAAATGTGCAGCCAATGCTTCAAATATGGATGTTGCTGTAAATAAGTTACATCATTTTAAAAGTGGATGCTTTGCACACATCTTCAACCCGACAAAATATAGAATCGGCACATATTCAAGTTGGGCATCCAAGATTAGTGTCCCCAAATGTGAAATATGGGCATAATCTCCCTTCTTTGTTCCACAGTTTTAGCATTAAATAATGTCCAGAAAAGGTTTGCAGAACATTATGATGTCACAGGGAGGTTGACCATTGACAATTTGGAGAGAACAATTCTAAACTCTATAATTTTATCCTCATTAACATTTGTATTAAATGTTTTGTCAAATTAGCGTTATTAGCGTTACATTTACGAGTCAGGGCACAACTGGGTTTTGTGAGGTCACAGTGGCCTTGACATTTAACCATCAAAATGTAATCAGTTCAGTCCAAGTGGATGTTTATGCCACATTTCAGGAAATTCCCTAATGAAGGCATTCACAAAGAATGATTGAATATTGGATGAGAAAGTCGTCCAACACTTTGACATCAAATATTACAAAAAAATATACATATAATGAAATAATTAGTAAAAAAAACTCAGTCTATCAATTTTAAAAATTGGACGCTGGAGATCTGTGAACACACAATGTGTTTTTGTGGTTTTACATAGTGTCATAACCCTGAGCTTGTTATGTTGTGAGCTGTTAGTGAATAGATAGCTCTACAAAGCAGCAGTCGATGTGGCACACTGTCAACGTGGCAGATTGTTAATGTGGTGATCAAGACTGTCATAATTTTTCGTCCATGTGGAGGAAACCTGGAAGTGGTGGAACCTCAGATTGCTCTTTCATTTGAGGGGAATGGATGGCACCCTGCCTCTGACACAGGGATGCTCTAAATGAGCCCAGAGGCTCAGAGGGAAGAGAGGAGACCTGGCACACATCAGTGTAATGTCTGCAGAGAGAGCAGATGGGCAGACAGGGTGAACAGATAAGCTGGAGGTAAAGGGAGGGTTTGTCCTCAGAGTGAGGACACACTCAACAAAAAGGTAATAGAGTGGTGCAGGATTGACATCTTAAACCTGCAAATGAGTAAGCATTTTACCACTTCGGGTTCTCTTGCCTTGAAGCCAAAGTTTTTTTGAAATTGTTTTCCTTAGACGCCTGAAATAAGTCCTGTGGTCAACGCACTTGTGTTCAGGTTTTATTCTACCTCACAAAATATGTCACGAAATACCCAGCTCCTTAATGTCTGAAGCTTCTGTGTCATAAAAACAGCAATATCCAAGAAGTCCCTGAATGCAACGTCATTACGCTGAAAATTAGCCATTATTAGCTTTGAGATGCAGTTAATATGTAGCCTAATGTTAGCTTTTTACCTCTGGATGATTGCATTCAGGTAAAAATATGTGGAGATCGTCCTGCTGAACAAAAGTGCTAAGTATCATAAACGGGCAACAGATATTATTTTCCGCAATACAAAACAAACCTTGCTTTTTGTGAAGGGAGCCCTTTGCGATGCTAACTTCCGGGTTGGCCTTTAAAAATGCAAAGGCCACCCTATACAGCCTCATGTTATTGTAGTGTCCACAGACATATGCAGGAAAGTGCCTCTGTGGTACACCACAAAAGCAAACAGATGGCTCCACACGTGAAACACCAGTAAACCTGTCTCCGTTAATACTCCTGGGACCTCATTACTAACCTGAAATAGCCCTCTGCCACTTTGACACGCTTCTAACATCACAAAAAAAGACAACATGAGAAAAAAAAAATCATGTGATGTCATCTTTTGAGATGATGTTGTCTTGGTAACTGCACATGATGGCCAGTCTGGTGGCTCTCTGGAGGGTTGTTTACGCTACTGTACCTTTTACTTTAGTAAACACTAATGACCAGCTGTTTACTAAACCAGCACCTGAGGCTCCATCTTGTTCATCCTTCAGTATCATTGACGATAAAAATTAATATTTGCTTACTGGGCTACAAGCTATTGCCAGAGAAAACAAATGTTTTCATGGAAAATCAGGGAATTTGGATTTAAATAATTAACACATGATCTGGTGAGGAAAATAACACATCAAAATTAGCAACATTTCAGCAAATAAAATGGCAAGATCCACTGCCAGTTCCCAAAATTAAGTTTGTGTTTTTGTATATTTCCAGCAATGTCTAAATAAGTTGTGAAAAGCTTGAAATCAAAGCGAAGATGTGATCACTATTTGACACCGTAGGCATAAAAGATGCTTCATGGACGACAATTATAATCAATACAGGCAGTGAGTGACTCAGCAGGAGCGTTCTCCTTAAACCTGAATGCTCTCTTTGAGCTTGACACCAGCTAAAATCCTTTAAGGAAATGTTGTCTCATTCATTTTTGTTGAGAGCATGATTGCGCATCAAATGTGGAAAGGGGCCTTATTTTACTTTTGGGGGATTTCCCTTTACTGTAATGCGTTATGTGGGTTTTTGAGCATGTATATGGTCTGCAAAGGCTGAGTTTCTCTCCGATACATGAGTACCAGTGGGTGCTCATGTACCCACTGGTACTCAGCAGCACAAAGTGCTCAGTTTGAATTGCTGGTAGTTAGAACAGCAGCAGACTTCATGACAGGCTTGCTGCAGGATCAGAAAAAGTGAGGGTGTTATCTGTGAAATAAAAAAGGTAAAAATAGGAATGAAGAACTTAAACAACCCTCCTACACATAAGACAGAAAAGTACTTAATACTGAACCACAGTTATATAAACATGCCTCGAGATGACTTTACAAAGTAGTCTCATAGCGATGTTAGAGGTGATACACCACAGGATGCTATTATTAAAGTATGCCAATGGCAAAAGGACATACAACACCGCTAAAAGTCATTGAAGTTATGCTAAAACACTACAACTAGCAGAAATAGTTGCAGCCTCAATGAGTTTTTTTAGATAAAAGCAGAGTTTTTATGTTGCCTCAGATGAGACTTAAGTGTCCTTCAGAGTTATTTTACTATCAGTTCAAAAGGAGCCGGTCCCAATGTCCCAGCCTTCCTCTGAGGACAGCGATACTAAAGCCCAATCAATCACCTCAGAGGAAGGCCAGCCAGAGGGAACCCAGCCTCCGCATGCCTCCATTCGGATTCTAATGATCTTGGAGCCCGTCCATGTCTTGTAATTGTTCCCTTGGAATCACACGGAAATACACCAGGGCTTTTCTTAAGGTTTCTTACAGACTAAAAAACCCACCCTGCCCTTGCTTCATTTGCTGCAACAGTAAAGGGCTGCAGGTGGTGAGGTCCACTCAAGGCCAGTGTATTAGTATTCAGACGGTTTCCTCTCTCATAGCAGAGTTGTAGCTCATATTGGCCTGGCTCGGTAAACGAGGCAGATGCAGCTCAGCAGCAGCAGGGCAGGGGTCTCTGCACAAACGTCTGTCAGGAGAGGCTGAGCCTAATGGAGCCTTCTCCCTCTGCTCTGTGTGATCTGTCTGCAATCATGGTGGTTACAAGCAGATAACTGAGGGGTGTATAAAACACTCTGTTGACACTGTTTAGCATACTGTCACAGCCTGCAGGGCCTCGAGTAAACCATCATGGACAAAAAGGGGCATTTTTCATTTATTTTTCATTGTATCAATAGTTGTCAGTATGGGTAAGCCAGTAGTGAAATGTAGAAAAATACATTTACTTTTTTTTACAAGTACTGTACTGAAGTACCTGAGTATTATCATTTCATGCTAATTCATAGTTATACACTACATTTGAAGAAGCCAATACTGAACTTGTATTCCAATATATGGCCTTTTAATGGCAGTTTAAGTTACTTTATAGATTCAGATTATTAGCTAATACAAAATATAAATCAAAGAAATACAAAAAGAAATACAAATTGATATATAATTAAGATATTCAGCAGCAGTATACAAATCAAAAAAGTTACTGTTATTAATTGGTCCCACTTTTACTAGCTTTGTTAGACACATTAATGCATCAAAAATAATCTAAAATGGGCTATTACCCATAACAAGTACTGTTGGTACTTGAAGTTAATTTTGATGCCAATACTTATGTATTTACGATTGTGAATGCAAGAGTTTTTTCTTCTTCAAAAATATTTTTGCAATTGGCTATTGCTACTTTACTTACGTAACAAATCAGAGAACCTTCTCACTACTGTGTAAAGCTGATTATTGAATGTGATTTTATGGGCAAAAAGTGTTTGCTTCCATTGATAATTTATTAGGCAGGATTTCATCCTAAATGCAGACTAAGACATGATTATATAAGACCTCAAATGAACAGCAGAGTAAGCCGAAATTGTCCAATTCCCATCTTAGTTCTGTCTTTGCTGTGGGAGCATTTGAGCAACAGCGGCTGATAAAAAGATGGGTTCTGAGCTCCTCCT